AATAAAGGAACAAGAAACCTAATGAACAAAACAAGGAATCTTTCTATATAAAACCTACGCAACTGGTCGACCAGTCGCTATGATGTGCACTGACCACAGGGGGAAGTCAACTTAGCCAAAAAGAGAAACAGGCGATTGAGTCTATGAAAGATTGCAAGCAGGTGGGACTGAGCTGCAGTTCACATTGGGAGGCCAGGCCGTTGGCCCGAATTCCACCACTCCAGAGGCATGGCGCCCCCGGCCCCGATCAACCCCTCTGGCCATATCCTCCCTCGGGCAGCCGGGACTGAGGGACAGAGGGAGGGAAAAAAGAGACCATGAACTCTGTCCCTAATGCCTGCCTCCTCCTATCAGACCGGAGCCATCCCAGGACTTACAGGATGGTATGCAAAGTGGGCAGCCTTGCCATACAGCAACCATGACTCCCTGGCCTGCCCAGGGTACCCCTCAGGCACTCACCCCACTTCTCCAAGCCTCAATCTGCACCCCTAGTGAGGCCGCGGGAGCTCTGTCCTAGGGACTCACTTCTCCATAGCTGGGTGTGACAGACCAGGAGATGCAAGGGCCAGCAGTGGAAGACAGGGCAGAAGCTCAGCTGACTGGAAGGAGTGGGAGCAGCTCCTCCCCGGCTGCCTGCAGCTCCGCGCACTACTATATCCCTTGGGAGATGTTGGATGCCAGTTTCAGCCTGATCCCCACAGGCCACACGGAGGGACCCCGCCAGTATATGAATCCATGCACCGGGCCTCTAGTCAGATGAATAAAATAGAACCAGAGGCATGGAAACATGAACTGACTGATGAATCTCAGAGGGGGTGGGGTGGGAAGAGGTTAACAAAGAACTTATATGCATACTAGAGGCCCGGTGCACAAAAATTTGTGCATGGAGGGCAGTGGGGGGAGGTTCCCTCAGCCTGGCCTGTGCCCTCTCGCAGTCTAGGACCCCTCGGGGGATGACCATCTGCTGGTTTGGGCCCACTCCCGGGGGATCGGGCCTAAGCTGGCAATCAGACATCCCTCTGGCAGCCCGGGAGCCCTTGGGGGATGTCCACTT